TTTTTTTTTCAACTAGATAATTTAGTATTAAACATGAGCAAAAAAGCACCCAAAATGGGAACACCATTCCAACCTGTAAACGAAGTAAAGAGTGATGCTAAAGCAATTAAAAAATATACTCAACAATTTACTGGGAAAGACTCTAGTGCAGCAGTTAAAGCATTATTATCAATGATGTCATTAGGAACAACAGTTGTTCCTACAGTTACATATTCAACAAATACTGAAGCTTTAACACGATGTCTTCAAGAAATTCCAGATTCAATTGATAATTTATTTAAAAAAGGAGGACATTCACTCAGTTTACAAGAAGTTAAAACAATGCTTGATGTTATTAAATTTTCATCACAATTTCTTCCAACAACAGAAATTTCTAAGCTTCGTTTGTTCTTTTATTTTAAAAAAAAAATCTTTTAAATTTCCACCGTTTTATTAAGAGAAGATTTTTATTTTACTTTCAAAGCAAAAGTCAAAATATACAAAAACTAATATATGATAGTTCCAGTAATTAAAAACTTCTTATGTAAAGATTCTAATATTGAAGTACGAAAAGAAACATTCAAAACACTTTTAGAATTAATTAAAATTCATAGTGATATAATAGATAGTTATGGATGTCTTTTCCTTCCTAGTTTTAATCTTAGATCATATCTTAGTCAAGAAGAAGATTGTAAAGTACCAGAAAATTTAATACCAACAATTAATTCTAATTCAAATGTATATTGTCCAGCAGAACTTTTAGATGGAAGAACACAAGAAGCAAATACTAACCAAATACTTGAATTATTTTTTAAAGAATATTTTATGAGTCAAGATAATATTAAATTATATCAAGGATTATTTTATCAAGTAGTTTGTTGTGTTATGCCTAATTATCAAAAGATAGGATCATTAGCATCATTAAATATTCAACATCATTTTAATATTGGAGATGTTCCATCTAAGTTATATTCTAAATTAGGAAATGAAGTACTTAATGCAGCACAAGGGAATTTTTCAAGAATATTACTTCTTGATGAAAGGTTTCTTTCTATTTTAATTCATTTTTATACAGAAATGCCAAATGTATTTGGTCCTAATGATAAAATAGCAGTTGAATCATTTCTTAAAATGTATAAAGATTTCTTCTTTGATAAACAAAGTAATTTAGTATCAATATTAAAAGATAAACTTACAAATATTCAATTTAAAATTATAGAAACACCAGGACAATGGTTTTCACAACAATTTCTTGAAAAAGAATTAAGTAATGATAAATGTAAAGAATTCTTTGAAATACTTATTCGATTTTATGAATCATTTGGATTAATTGAAGATAAATTAACACCAAGTTTAAAATCAACAATTCTTGCAACAGTTACACAATGTGCATTAAACTTTACACAATTTGTAAAAAATGAAGTTTATTCTCCATATAAAAAAGAGTTATTAAAAGTATTATTTGTTTTACATATTCAATGGACTCAATATGAAGGAGATTGGATAGAATTATTAAGTAGATTAGAACCACTTTATGATGTTGATATGCTTAGTGTTATTCAAATAGAAATTGAACATCTTACAACTGTCTTTGCACAAAAAGTATATAATCCAACTATATTTTCAGTACCATTACCAATTGAAGGAAGTAATTATATCAAAAATTTAAATGAAGAAGTATATTATGATACACCTCATAGTGAACCTAAATTGGGAATGATTAAAACATTATGGGATACTCATAGAATAAGAGAACTTTGGTTATTATTATTTAAATTTATTGATCATCCATTAAAATTAAATAAAATAGAAGTTATTAGTAAAAATATTGAAATGTTAAATGAACTTGTATCATTATTAACATTTGCAGAAGAAAATGCTACATATGAAATAAAATCAGAAACAATTATTTCACAACCTAAACCAATTAGACAATCTCAATGGAATATTCAACCAACAAATTGGAAAGGAATTAGAAAAACAATTCAACCTACTTCATCTGTTTCTCCAATTTCAAATGCTACTAATGTATCAAACAATGATAAAATATTTAAAATTAATGAATCTTTATATTTACCATTACAAGAAATTTTCCTTCCTATTTTCATTGAAATAGTTGCACAACCAAATCCATTAATTACAGAAAAATCAAAATGTTTAAGTTTTAAATCAATTAGTAGAATTATTTGTAGACAATTTCCTCAATATGAGAATGAAATATATGATATTTATACATCATTAATTCAAAGTATTCATTTTCAAACAATTGATGTACAATGGGCATTTATTTCATCTTCATATGATATGTTTACTAATCCAAATAATAAATTTATTCCTTGTCTTCCATCAGTACTTCAATCATTAAGTAAATTATCAACTGGAAATTCAACATTAGAAGACCAAATTAAATGTTGTTCAATGATTAATTCTCTTGTATTTCTTGAATATAATTATCCAAATTTACAAGAGTCTTTTAATAAAATGGGATTAAATTTACCAGGTGATTATTGTACTACAATGATTAATATTATTACTGGTGCATTACGTGTTATGCCACAACCTCAAACACAAACAATGTTATATTGGTCATTTGTTCATTTATTTACTATTTGTTTAGAAAGTCATCGTGAAATTGACTTTAGAATTTTCTTAGATGTTTTCTTTGAAGGAGTTAGATCTCCAAGTTTTATTATTTATACTACATCTTTACAAATATTAAATTATCTTAGTACAAAAGCACAATTATTAGCAGATAATATAATTAATTATATCATTGATGCATTATGTAATATTATATTAACATGTCCTATAACTATTGATTGTATTTCATTTATTTTTGATACAATGTCTCGTTGGTTATTATGTTATGGTAAAAATATGTTCTCTATTAGACTTTTAGATGAAACAACTCATCGTCTTTTCCAAGTTATTCAAATGACCCTTTCATTAGAAAATCCACCAGAAAATCCTGATAGACCAACAACATGTATAGACCCACATGAAGCAGCACAAAAATTTGTTGCTGTATTATCTCAAGTAGTCTTTGGTAGTCCAACTGAACATGGTATGTTTAAATGTACTGAAGCAAATATCCCAGACCAATCTTTATCAAGATATTTTGCATATGGAGATAGTACTATTATATCAGTTTTACCTTCAAATGATTGTCATACTAGAGTTTTTATCAGAAATATTTATGGAATGTATGAATTTCTTGTTGCTCCAATGCAAACAATTAATGATATTGGATTACCAGAAATTAAAGATGATTTTACTCCTATTAGTCAAATTCCATGGAAGAAAAATAATCAAGCAAGTGGAATCATTAAAGAAAAAGTATTTTCACAAGAAAATAAGTTAAAAACATTAGTTGAAGACACATGTAAAGATGATCCTAGTTTATTAATGTGTGAATTTCCTGAAGAAATTATGAAGGTTGATGAATATTATAAATACATTACTACAATAGAAAAAGTTATGACAGAAACAGTAAAAGAAGAAGAAAAACAAATTAAAGAATCATTAGATCTTGTTAAAATGAATTCAAGACAACTTGATTTAAGTGAAGGAGCAAGAGACACATTAACAGAATATTTACAAAATATTCTTAGTTTATATTCAATGAATGATAAATTATTAGTTCCAATAGAAAGTACAAATGATTTCTTAAATGAAATTATTGAATTAGATAAATTATCTGCAAGATTATTCTTTAAAAGTACTATTATTTATGTTGGAGAAAATGATATGTCTGTTGAAAAAATTATTGAAGAAAAAGAAGGAAGTCTTAGATATAAACAATTTATGAGATGTTTAGGTTGGTATCAGTCTTTAGAAGGATTAATTTGTGATCCTGAACTTTGTCAAAAAAGTAGAGATGGAACAATATGTTATTATGCAGATGCACAATATGAATATGTTTTTGAAGAAATTAATCAAATGGATGAATTAAACCAAAAAACAATTAGTCAAGTAACATCATTAATTTGTATTATTTGGGATGAAGGAATTAAACCATATCATCCATCAATTATTGGTAGTTATTGTGAAATTATAATTGTTATTAAACCAAATGCTAATGGAATGTATGGAATTAGAATCTTTAGAAAGAAAGAAATGCCTATTGTTGGTCCATTATTAAATGGAATGGAAGTTAGTGGTGATGTATTAGGAAGAATGATTAGAGAAATGATAATCAATATTCATTTCCATTATTTAGGAAATGGCTATTCAAATATGGATGGATGCTCTAATAGATTCCAACAATTATTGAAATTAGTATCTTTTGGTCATTTACCAAAAGATTACACATTATGTAAAGAATTACAATTAATTCTTGACAAAAAGAAATAATTCTATTTTGAAACACTCTTTTCTTATGTTTGTTATTTCTCTTTAGATTT